AATATTGAAGAAACATTGAGTTTTATTTCAAATATTCTCAAGTATAAAAACTGAATTTCAGTGTGTGTAATCTACTTGTTAAGAAGCACTCTGGTAAACACAATCAAATTTATTAGCAGTTGTTAATATCCTTGAGAGGCCAAGTTTAGTTACATTTCTCAAAAAGTTATTGTCAGTTAGTCTTTTAGTTGTTTTTTTTTAGAGACTAGGGTATAGTCATAATTTTTCAAAAATTCTTAGACACTTAGTCTTTGAGTTGTATAATCAGTTTGATTATTGGATTAAGTCCTTATTAAGAAGGCAAAATCACTCAGGTGGGTAGATTGAAAGTAGTTTTATTAACAATGAACCAAAATAAAAAATACTTGTGTTAATATCTCTATCATTATCTTTGTTGTTTGATTTATTGAGCTGCAAAAGTTTTAAATCAAAAACCCAATTTAAACCCTAATTTTACTTGAAATACGTTGACCCTATTGTGAAACTTTGACATAAGCTCTATAATTGTTTTAACCCCATGAAATTTAATTTTTGCCAACATCACACATTTGCAAACATTAGATAGATGAGTTTATTAAATGAAATGTTGTCTAACATAGTTTCCCACTCGACTTAAACTCTTTGATATATCTCTTTGAATTCTTTTTAACCATGTGACACATGTTATTATTTTGTTACCATAACTCATATATTTATTTTGAATGAAATGTCAAAGTGCTTAATACTATGGTGGAATCAGGATTTTTTTTTCTTATAACTTACAACTATCTTATTTGTGTATATTTTTCGATGCATAAATAAGAAACACTTACACCCTTCAAAATTTATATACGCAACCAATTTCATCACTTTCTTCAATTTTTTTTTCTTCAAATTAGTGTAACATTCTCCTCCAATGCGAGATATACTTCCTCTGTCTCAAAATGATATCATTTTACTAAATAAATTTTTTTTTATAATAACTGTCATTTTTATTTTCTAATGTAGCAATGATTACAAATTTTCCAATTATATATTTTAATTATTACTCTTTATACTACTTTCAATATTTTAATAAGGTTAATTTAATAAAAGTGTTATGTTTTGTGACAATATTATTACATTCTTTAATCTATATGCAAAAATTTTAAACGTCGTTTTAAAACGGAGAGAGTAATCAAAAGTAATTTGACGCTAAATATTTAAAAGCACACAAAATCGTAACTTTTGTATAGTTTATATAGTTGTCAACCATAAATTCTAAATTAAAATATAAATATTTATTTAACCAACCATAAATTAAATAAAATTTACATAAAAATAAATGTAATTAATAAAAAAGATCTCAATAGGTCTCCTTGATGCTAAACAAGGATAACAAGCCAAAAAAAACTATGAATAGAATACTAGATTGATTGACTAAACATAAATAAAGAAATCAATAACTTCATTATGGCAAAGAAGGGAAAAGAACAATTTCTTGCTCACACCTTTTGCATAGAAAAATATGAGGAACTTGTTCATCATTTGGAATTCTAACACATCTAGTGTGTTGCAAAATTTCACAAATATCACAAGACACCATTCTTTCACCATCATCTTCTTTAGTTCCACAAGTGCAATCCACAATTCCCTTATTTGGATTCCTTTCACATATTTGCTCAACCATGTCACTACCATGCCAACTTTCAAGAACAAGTTTTCCACCAACTTCAATCATTCCAAAAACTATTTCATTCCCTTTTGCATTCATCAAAATCTCATTTGGTTCCACTACCAAACCCCTTAAACCCCAATAGATTTCCCTAAAATTCCTTTCAACTTCTAGCTTTAAGTCATTAATTGTAGCACAACTTTTCAATGTGATACATTCATAAGGTGGCATTGGCATTGATATTTCATTGTTCAAATAATACTCATGATCATGCCCTACACTGTTAACATTCCTCAACAAAATTGTACAATAGAGATTGAATTTTCCTTCTGATCCTAGTTCAACTTGCAAAGGTGCCTCTCCATAGTCTTTGATGAGATACTTTGTGTCAAGAATTATTCTTGCTGCCAATGGTATAGCTGAAAGAAATTCTGACCCTATGATTGGTTTTGTATCAATAAGTATGTACTTGTACAAACAAATCATGTCTTTCATGAGTTGACCTCTTGTGATCTTGTACTTGTCCTTAACTTTATTACTACTACTCATAACCAACCCTTCATGACAAGGGTAAGCATTAGAAATGTCTTCTAAACAATACTCCAAAACTTTGGTAACCGGATTCAAGCTCCGACGAACCAAATAGTTTCCAACAACATGGTTACCTAGCGACTTCAAAACAAAATCCAACAAACCAGTATCACCTATGTAAACGCGTGCTGCATCCCTAACTTCTTGTCTTGAAATCCATCTGAACTCCGTTCTTTTTAAGGCCTCAACGATAACCCTAGTTGCCATTTCAATCCTTTTAGGCGACCAGCGACAATTTGTTTCGACTAAGGCGTTTGTGTTGTAGGAACCAATGCATGTTTCGCGCGGAAGCCGTGACTTGAGCTCTAATATATAGTGAAACAAGTCACCAAGGGTTATAAGAGAGTGATCAGAAAGTGTTTGATACCTTGAGAAGATTAATGGGATTTCATGATTTGAATTTGCAATATGGTGTGTGAGTAAGTATAGTGGCATACTTCTTATTGCATCTATGGCTTTTTGGTACATTGATTGTGTTACCCCAAAACATCCTCTACCAAATTTGTATCCCCAACGACCAAACCATGGCTCACTATATGCTATTCCATTCACAAGTCTCAACTCCATGCCTCTCTTTTGTGATGTATCATTCAAACTCACTTTCCTATCATGTTTGGTACATATTAAGCAATTAGTCTTTGTTTAGTTTTTTGAAATAGTAATTAAAGGAGGTAGATCCCATGCAATCACTAATGCATGTATTTACACGTCGGTGCATCAATGACCGTTCGATCAATCCCAACCAACATCAGGTCTGGATCGAACGGTCACTAATACACCGAATGCATGCATCTGTGACTATGAATTTGTAATTAAAAGTGTGTGGAAATGGACTAACCTTGCTTGCAATCCATTGCACAAACGATTCCAAAACTCCATGATTTGGTTGCCACCCAAATTAGAACCCATTTCCAAGCCATTGACACATAGCAAATGTCCAAATCCATTAGAGTGAAACACACCATGCATCATATGCCCTTCTAATTCTATTAATTTTGACTTACCATTGTTCATTGTACCAACTGAATCACAACAATTTTCACAGCTTGTGCAGCTACTTAGTGCCTCCTTAGAAGGTAATAGAAAATGATACTTCTTATTGCAAATCAAATGGTTGCCCCAACCTAATTAAACCCCAATGAAATTTATGTAATTAAGATTATAATAGTATTCAGCCAAAATAATATGTATTAGATATAAGAATTTAATTTGTATATATTTTATACACTAAATCAGATTTTTGTCAAATGTTATTAAAGTTTGATTTTGTCATAATCATTTTTTAAATCACATGACTTACTAACTTTTTTTAAAAAATGGACCGACTTTTTGTAAGCTAATTACAATGCAAATGTAACAATATATACAGTGCAAAGCAAATATTAAATTAATAAACATTACCAACATATTGACAATGGTTGCAATGACGATTCATGGTTGCTTCTATTGATTCTTCGATCACAAACAACAAAACATGCAAAGGTGGATGATGATGCAACTCAAGTTGAAAAGACCACATAGGCATTCCCATATTTATATTACTCTCCAAACTCGCATATTCAAGTAAAGCGTTCACATTTTCGCGAAACGATGAACCATTAAACATTACAGGGTAACCTTGTTCCCCGAAATTCTTGAACCTAAAAACCCTCCCACATCTTTTCCTTCTCTTGTTCCCAACAACATCAACATTCAACATTGCACTGTGCTTTTTTTGAGGATGTTTCAAGAGTTTCTAACATGTTGGAACCAAAGAGAAGAGTTATATATAGATTTATGTTATGTTTTTATATAGTAACATGAACACTCACACACTTAGTGCCTTGAAATAAAATTGGACATGTTAAAAAAGAGTTGCAATTTCTATTTGCATGACTTGTTTCAAAATTGGATTTCCTTGAAAATTTATCGAGGTAACCTACGAAATGGTTGGTGTTTTGATTTAAATTATAGGTACCATGCAATAATAACCTCTTATGTTTGTCTACTAATTCTATGGTCAAATTTTTGAGTAGTTGATTCTTTTCTTGTGGGATTATAGGGAAATGCAACACTTCTTGTCTAACTACCGTTTTGGAACATCGTTTTGTTAATTAAGTTGAACTTGCATTGTGCAAAGAGATCTTAAAATTAATTAGTGTTAAATAAAAGTGATTGATTGTTATTATATGGCGTTTGTGCCAAGGGTGTTTTTCCTCTAGCATTTCTTGAGTCATGCTATTTCGTACGATTAGGCACCGTAACAAACAGCATTTTCCTTCATATAAAAGAGAGTAAAAAATACTAGCAACATACTCACTGCAACAATCTTACATGGTTGCTGAAACTATTTAAATTTTAACCATTGAGAATAAATGTGATGGAATGACTGTTTCTCTTTGCAATTAGAGATTGGCAAATATCAGTTGAGTCATTTTTTGGTACAAATTTGAGTACAATTACAAAAGATCAAATAACATGGTATTTTCTGTTGAAGGATGCAACATCCAATTCCCTAGGCTAACCTGTTCCACTTCTTGTCCTACTGTTCTTATCTGTAACCGGTATCGCGATTGGCGTAACACAAAATGAAACTTACTACTTTACACTAGTTCCACAATCTTCACATGCTGCATCCAAATCCAAATCCAATGTTGTACAATCTCAGCCCAACTAGCATGGCCTTGATGTTATGACGCAAGCGGCAATCAAGTGAGAAATGATAAATATTTTCGTCAAAATCACATGCAGCCATGTATGTATACCAAGAATCCAGATCTGATTTTACTATCAAGCATTACCTACCAACTCGTGTAGTTATATATCGTCCCTTTTCTAGGTCATAAATTGTCTTCAACTGAGGTTTCCGCCACCTAGATATAGACCATGCTATAAACAACAATATTATAAAAATTCCGACCAGTGTGAGGAGAGTAGGTGATTCATTGCTGAAAATGGCTGCAAACCAGTTATGGTTATGTGGATCTGAATCCGCTGTAGTTTGCAGAATAAAAGCTCCCAAAGCCCAGTCGAGCGGAATATTTCTCACCTGATTAGCAACTTTGATCCTGCCCAATAGTTAATTCTATTCAATTAAGATTCAACCAATAGGGACACAAATAAATCAACTTGAGAAAACCAAAAAACATATATGCAATCCCAGCCTTAGAAATGGACAAGTGAAAGTGCAGGCACACAAACATGAACCCTGAAAGATTGTTACCAAGTGATCCCGGGAAAGTATAGGCTTACAGGTCAAGTACAAAAAAAAAAGTCATCAAGGGACAAGCAGTAATTCCTCTCAATTAACATATTTTGGATCGATGTTGTGAAATTCAGAGTTTACATAAAGATTGGGAGGAGGTTGAAAATTTGTAACTTGATGATTGTAACACAAATTATAGATTCTAATTAATTGCAAAATTATGCCTGTATATTTGCATATGTATGAAAAGTCATATAGTTAAAAAAAAGAGTAGAATTTATTCGCAATAATAAACTTATCTTAAATTGAATAGGTTACAAGAGATATTCAACTATAATTTTGTATTTAAGTTGTTATCAATTAATTAAGATAGAAGTAAACAATACTAAAAGGGGAATACTCACAATCACAACACAGAAAGGGATGTTTGGATAGCAGGATTGTGCAATCCCACGAGGTATACTCACAATCTTACCGACATTGTTATGGTTGCATGATATTGCACTACAGAAAAACTAATGGTAACAAAGTCAAGTGATTATAAATGTAGCAACTGAATTGAGAATTCCCTATAAGCCATATGCAAGACTAGATCCATCTAGACATCACACAAAAGTTCAGGAGAATTATGCTTACTACCCAAGATTTGGGAAAACTACACATGATACCTACCTTGTTTGTATACCTACACCGACTTCCCTAAGGCTTTGTTTGGATATTTTAAAATGAACAGAACGGAGCGGAACAAAACACGTTATTCATTACATTGTTTGGGCACTTTACGATGGAGCAGAACATATTTCACATTCCATTGTTTGGAAAGTGGATGGAATGAAATGAGCTATAACTTTTTTATTTCACATTTACCCTTATTTAAAAAACTCTACTGCCATTGTCTTTAATTATAAACTCCATTTCTTATTCTCCTCCCTTTTTCTACCCCAAGCCTCGCCCACGAACTAACAGAACCGCTGGCCAATGTTGAAGCTTCCATCCATTTACCATATACCAACATAGCCATAAAATACTAACTGCTCCATTCAGGCACCAAAATCCAAAACAGCAACAAATTAAAACCTCTATTTAACCCATTGGAGCACCATCCTCTTTGATATCAAACAACAAAGTTTCAACACGAATCAACAATTTTGTCAACTCCCAAAAATACCCAAAATGATTGAATTTATGAGACTGTCACTATCAGAGATACCCACACTGTACCATGATTAACATGGACATGCCCCATAAACAATGACTTCCCATGTATCAAACTGTAACTAACTAGTGGTGTACCATGACTAGCCTGGATGTGCATTTAGAGAATGCATTTCTTGCAACTAACTAAGTTGACTCAGTTAGTTTAACTGGCAGAATCTGTGAGCCTGGCCTTCCTATATATGGACTAGCAACCCTCATTTGTAATCATTCAAGCAATCAATAGTGTTAGATTTGTGTGACACTAGTAGATTTAGTGCAGAGAATGAAGAGAATTCTTAAACTGAATTTCTCAGTTTTCTATATTATGAATCTGTGCAATTTCTCTGCGATTGATCTATTTATAGATCAGAGGATAGCTCAAGAATCTAACTAACTTCTCTTAGTAGTTTCGTGATTTTAAGGGATTAGTTTAGACATAAGAGGATACTGTACAGCAGGTGTATAGAAGTTACAATACAGCAAAGCGAGTCTAAGCCTATCTAGGATAGTTTTAACTAACCTATTGTTAATTGCACCTTTTCCTTTAATAAATAGAAATTCAGAAACTAAATATTCTCTGATAATCACCATCACTTATTCAGCCACAAAAATAACTTTGTTAAGCCAACAGCTATCAAGCAACAGGCTCTTCTTTTCAAGTTGTTCATTTAGGACAATGGAGGTATGGGGGCTCACAACTGAGGCTTGCAGAAGTAAGTTCCAACTACCAATACTGGCATTTGAGGCCAAAATGACACCAAGCTCCAACAAAGCATTTGAATAGCCTTACCCTTCCCAATAGAACTTCTGTTTAATGAACATCCCCTTCCACCGCCTGACCCAGTTGTAATTTATCAACAGAAACCGACAAATCTTTATCTACAGCGTCACAAGCAAGTTAGAAGCACATACTACTCTCCCCCAAGCCAGAGACTGCACAACAACCAATAATTACTCTACCCTTCAGACCAAAGCTAGCTGCACCAGCAACTTCCTTGAACCCTCATCTGTTCATCAACTTTCTATGGTTGGGTTTCATATGACTGGAGAGAATAGGTAGAGGGTTTCATCAGAGATTCAAAACGGAGGTACTAAATTTTTTTTGGCATTGAATAGGTGTTCAATGAGGGTAATTGGGAAATTTTGTATTTAATATATTTTACAAACAAATGAATCCGGTTCACATTATCAGTGCACTTGGTATCAGTGTGTTCAGTTTAGCAGAAATAGAGAAGAGAAAAATAGGTGAGACAGAGGGTATTCCCTGTTGTTTGGGATACAAAGAAATGGAAAATATAGAGATAAGACAGCAGGGCCTGCACCTATCTGTATTCTTTCTAATTCTGAGAAGCAATGCCACATAGATGGAGCCTCTGTTTTTTTGCTTTATCCATTTCTATCCCTGGTTTGCAAATCCCAGGACTTGCCTATTTCTCTCCCCCACTTTCTTCTCATGTCACAATCAAACATGCCCAAAGGGAAGCTAATGTATCACGCATGGGTACAAGCTATGTAGCACAGACACCTTTAAAAAGCAGTGTGTCCGTGTCCGTGTCAGGGTTGGACACCTGCACCGACACTTTTGATTACATTTAATCTATTCATTTTTTCAAATTATTATCAGAGTCACCGTGTCAGTGTCGGAGTCATATTTGGGGTGTCTATGCTTCATAGGGTACAAGCAAGTAGGGTATCATGTATCAGTATACCAAACTTTAGGAAGATATGGTACTTCGCCCTAAATTTGTTGTTTTTGTGTAGGAATGGGACTGAGTGTTCCATGCAAATAAGGCAATAGTATCTATTTCCACACTACGTATTCAAATATCTTAAAGAAAAGTATGCGGGAATACCTCTCATCATCCATACCAATCCCAAGACTGTCATGAAGAAGAGCAACAATGTAAGCAGAAGAGAAGCAATGTCGAAGTAAATCTTCCTCGTCGTGGGAGACATATTTTTTTTTAATCCTTAACCAATCCTCTCCACAGAATTTTTGCCCAGCATTCATCAACTTGGAGAGATAAGCATGTGGCCCCAATCCAAAAAACTAATACAGCACCGAAGGATTAAGAATCAGTGTAACTGATGTACACAATGAACTCAAATATAAGCAAAAATAAGTCAATACAAAGTCAGCCACCAAATATCTTTTCTGTTTATTTAATTTTCTACGAGAACTTGTGTCTATTGAAGAGTATTTTTAAAATGATAACATAATGTTAAATATGGTGAAATTAGTTTTTTTCCTAGTAACATGGTGATGTCAGTTGGAATTTGTTTATATAGTCTACCAAACACAAGTTCTTTTTTGGTTGTAATTGAGTCGAGAGGATGGACTAATTATAAAAATAGCAAATAGTAAAACTTATTGTGTTACATGCCAGTTGTTAACAAGGTTATTAAAATCTAGTTTTAATTCATAAAATAATTTCGAGTTACATCACTTGTAAAATTGAATTTGATTAAAACCGAAAATAACCCGATTTCAAATAAACCCTCTGAAATCGAACAAGATCTAACACGGTTTTACCCAATTTTACCTAATTTTGAAGAAACTGACTCTTGTTTTTTTTTTTTGATAGATTTAATTTTTAACTACTTCAGAAACTTTTGAAAATCTTGTTTCTTTGGGTATTTTTATGATTTGATGGGGGAATTTATGTAGTTTGAGACAATTTTATGAGCATAACACTTTCTTATGGTAATTTGATATATTTTTGTTTTATAATTAAGTTGAAATTTTGAATTATTGATGAGTTTCTAGTATTGTATAAGTATGTATGACAATAATTTTTATATAAGGTAAACTCGTATGAGTTTACGAGTGGATTCTACAAAGGCAAAACAAGTTGTCATAAAAAATCGAGCTTGACAACCTTGGTTGTTAAAGAAACGATAGAGTTGTGGATTATGATACTTTAATATCATCTCCAATGCATCTATTTTTAGGGTAACAAAGATGCACAATCATACTAGACAGTAGATAATAGACGAGAAAACAGCAAATGAAGCTTAAAATATTAACCCCCAATAACTATAAAGCATAAAAAGAACCTTTGATGTGTGAAAGAAATTTTCCGTAGCCAAAAATTTCCCCTGAAGCTTAGGTATAAATGTTGATCCTATGTCGCAATGCTGATAAGAACACAATTCTGCAAAATTAAAAATGAAATGACCAACTATTAAACAAAATCAACAATGAGGAAAATCTCAATAAAAAAGAATCTAACAATACAAAATTAGTAAAAGTGAATACAACCTTTCCCCTTTTGTAATAGGGTCAATGCTGCAGATCTGCACGCCGAAAAGTTTCCCCTTGTTTGAACAGTGGGCTGATATTGGCTTTCTTCACTATGTGAGCTAGGCGAGGACTTCCATGAATCCGCACTATAAGAGTACCCTGCCGGAGTACAAGGATCTATGTGCAACCCATCCTTAATATATTGAGAAGCTGCACTGAGGAGAATAAAGAATCAATACCAAATCATTTTAATATCTGAAGAGATCATGTGATTATGGTGCAAGCGTGCAATTAGTGGTTAAAAGAGAGACGGATGCCTCCTAGTGAAAAAATTGACATAAAAAAAAATAAGCGAGACATAGTAGAACTAAAGGCGCACATATAGTCATCAAATACATAAACAAATTTTTGCCAAATTTATGTAGATAAATTTAACATTCTGTAGAAAAGTTTTACTGTTCACAAATATAGACAAAGAAAGTACTTCACATAAAAGTATAAGAGCACGTCAAAATTGTTCACCCCTATAAACTTTGAAAAACTCACCACATCTGAATAAGAACCAGAATAACTTTAATTGTAAATAGAATATTGTTATTTAACTTTTTATATATTTCATGGTAAAAAATACTAATAATTCTTTTAAGAGTTATTTAATGGTTTGAAACTGCAAAATCAAGCATACATTATAAGAACAACACAGCATGGTAATTAAGTTCAAAGGGCTTTCAAATTCATCGAGTGTAATTACCCAGGTTCAAATCTCCTGATATAAGTGCTTCTCTCCATGAGTCATGAGCAACATTCTGCAAAACGAATAATAATCAGAAAGTATCAAATACTGTGGTGTCATTCCAAATCTAGAACGCATGATCAGCCATATGACTCGCAAATAGAATCACATTGAAATAAAAGAAACCAATAAGAACTAATGACTTTATGATATGGGTAGGATATTAAAGCAATAAAAGTGTGAACCATCCCCATTTATAAGTAACAACATCAAAACACATATTTCATAAGTTGTAATTCCTTTCCAGTGGAATGTCGTGGTAACTTGTGAGTAATAATTAGCCTTTAAGAACATACTCAACAGAGAAAAGAGATTGATAATCACCAGGCCAAAATGAAGCAAGCTGTGGCTGTAAAGGTTGTAAGTGATATTCCCAAATTTAACAGTGCGTGAGAACAAAGGCAGCATCGCTTCTCTTGATACAAAGGTTACCTAAAATAAGAGTAAGGTAGATATTCATTTGTCATGCTTCCAAATATGTAGATCTTTATCTAAAATATAGGCTTTAAAATTAGAACTCCTTAAGCAATTACACTCAAATTGTGAATAATTACGTATTGATATAACTTGGATATAACCAAAATGAAATTTTTTATCATAAGTAATCAGGAAAAAATGAAGTTTTACCTGAGCAGAAGCACCACCAAGTTCGATAATCCCAGTTGTCTCCAACGGATCACCTCCAAGAGTTCCCAGTGCATAATTAGCAACAACCCAAGCATACACTCCTTCATCAGAACCTGTAAAACCACAACAGAATAACAAGTTAAAACAAAGTTACATAAATCAGATCACCAATTAATATAGACACTCTGATGGAGCTTAAAACTACTAAAAAGATGAATGAAGAAGAAAACAAAAGAAGCATCACATTTACGTTATGATGCTGCTGACACCAAAAATATTAGCATGATAACAAGCCAAACTGTGATTGAAAAAAAAAACATGAAAGAGATGATAGACAACTAGGTTCACTACATTGTAAATCCTAGAGGTATGCACAAGCATTCTATTTCATTATTCAATCTTCCGCAAATATATTTTCTTCAATCACTTTGTCAAAAAAAACATTCCATTTGGCCATTCTACCTCTCTGCCTTTTACATTCTTCACTCTTAAAAATGAACAGCCAGGTTCTTCTTCAATCTTCAAACCCAACGCTAGCATATATCATACTACACACATTGTTGTAATATCAATTATCACCTCTCAGCATAAGAATCCTGCTTCTTGCCAAGTAAATTAACAAAGCCTCCTTTCATAAACACCGACCAGTGTTGTCGACGGCGGATGGCAGTCCATGGCGGAGAGTCAAAATCCCACCATACCGGTCGCTTAGCGGCGCCGTTATAGCGGAAAAACCTGCAATATCTGGCTAATATTTACCATTGCGGCGAGCCCAAAAAACGCCATAGTGGCCATGGCGCTGCAATTTGACAACACTGACACCAACAATACACTTAATCCCTCTAATCTCGAATATAAGCAAAAACATTCCTAGTAATCTCATATATAAACAAACTTAACTGCTTTCACTCTATTTAGTAATATCATCCTAACATACCTATCAATTAACCTGCCTTTAAGTTTTCAATGAATCTTTAATTCCTATAGAACAAATTCAAATGAAGGACACTATTCAAAATACACTAATTTTTATGAGATCACTAAACTAAAATTCTTAACAAGTGTAAAATTAGTGACTTTTGTTTATATTCAACATGGAAAAGAGTATTTCAAATGCACAAAAATCTCTCATTTTCAAAATTTCACAACCAATTCATTCACCTAAACAACTAAATAACATAAAGTAAGCAAATTCAACTTCACCATGATCGGTTTAGAACACAGAACCTGTTATAACAGAAGCCCAATCATCACTAAACTTGAATCCAGAAGAACGCAAAACACTCCTACAAGACTCTAGAATACTCTCCTGCACTTCAACATCCAGCATCCTCATCCCAGCCGTAGCCATAAGCCGAATCTCCGTCTCCATCCACCTCTCCTTGGGGATCCGATGTTTCGCAAACTCCACCAGCTCCGCCAGCGAACTCCCGGCTCCATCCGGATCCCCCGCGAACGCCGATAAACCTGGATTCACTCTCATCGAAACCACCCCCTTTTTCCCAAAATCCAACGCGTTTTTAACCCTATACTTAAACACATGAACCCTAGTTCCCGTGCTTCCGCCGTCGACGATTATACTGTACCGGAAACTGTTTCTGGCTCCCGATGGTGATGAGGAGAAGAAAGTGTAGTATGAAACGATGAGGAGGAACGAGAAGAAGAGAGGAACGATGAACGTGGTCTTGAAACAGAGACACTTTGAATTGTTGTTGCTATTGTTGTTGCGAGCGAAGAGATTCGTGGAGCGGATTTGGATCCGTTTCACGGTTGGATCCATTTGGTTTGGGTTTGAGCCGACGCGGTTGCGAGCATTCGATCGTCGCATCAAATGGAATTCGGAAGATGGAGGAGGAAGGGGGAATTGTTAATCATATCAAGGCGTGGAGATGTGCCGGAGATGATGGCGGCGGTGGTAGCTCTGACCTCTCTCCAGGTGCAGACGGAGAGAGAGAGAGGGAGAGAAATTTGCGGAGGGGAGAGACAGAATTAACGCGTGTTTGCCATTTTAAATTTAGGTAGTTAATTTGTTTTTTTGGTAGAAAATTGCAAGTAGCTGTAAAATATTATTACCCGAGTCATATATATTAGAAAGGAAATTTTTATTTTTCCAATTTCAAAATGTGGAGAAAATTATTCGTGTATTAAAAAGTTTTAAATTTTGAATTATTAAATATATAATTATGATAAAATTAAATGTTATTATCAAATTGATTGAAGGTATGGGTTTTCAAAATTTATCTATCCAAACTAAATATTTGGGCTCGAGTGGTAAGTAAGTTTGTGTTAAAGGAAATATCGAATTTGATTCTTTGTAGAAATAATATTTGGTCAGTGTCAATAAAAAACCGTAAATTAAATCGAACCAAATCAAAATCGTAGCAAACTGCATTATGTTATAACTCAAACTTCACTTAGTCAACATCCAACCCAAATATGTTACAACTCAAACTTCACTTAGTTAACATCCAACCCAAACTCAAACTGCAGTATGGTTTAGTCTTATGATTATGAATAATTTTCTCTTCCTCACACTTGGGGTTTCAATTTCAACATTCTCAAATTTTTCCTAAAAATATTGTGTCTTCTTCTCCAGGAACATCTCGCATCTTCTTCTCTAATCTCTACCCTTTTATATTCTTTATATTTCATATTTTCATTTTTATGTTATTGTTCTCTCTTTCAATTTTGTTTTTATCACACCTCTTCTCCTCTAATTTCTCATTTCTTCAGTTCTTTCTTTTTCATCTTTTCTAATCTCTCATGCCTTCTATTTTTTGTTTCATTATAATATTTTTGATATTGTTTTTATGTTTATTATTTCACTTTTCTCTAATCTGATTTTTATATATTAATGAAAAGTTATTGTCCAAATATGAATAGTTTTATTGTTATTTTGTAATGTATGAATGACTAAACACAAAGTTATTTTATCGTCTATATATGTATGTATGGCTCAATAAATTTTTTGTAAAAACCCGAACCAACCGAATCGAACCAAACCGTATTGTTTTGCTTTGATTTGGTTCGGTTTTATTTTTAAAAGTCAACCAAACCAAACTACACATTTGTTTTTCTTGCAATTCTGATTACGTTTAGCATCAAAATTGTAACACCCCCTTTTTATACCCTCAAATAAACAATTAAATCATTTAGGCACTTAATAAAAAATTTCATCAGACTGTAATTAACACATGGTAATATGGTATAAAAGAGGCACGTCACATTATCCAGGAAATTAAAAACACATACAATACCTGCTAATAAAGATATGCAACAGAGGGTAAATCACCACAGAGGAACTTAGTCCTTAAAACCCACACATCAATATTTAGAATAAAAGCTGAAACATCTAAACATTGAATCACTTCATTCATATAAACATTGTATACATAAATAGTTCAATTCAAGTCATAAGTCATGTTTACAAAATATTCTCAGCAGATACATCCACAGATGTATCACAAAAGAACCAAAAGAATTCCTAACTACCCGGTGCTACATATCAGAGCCAACCGACCAAAAAGAACGAAGCCACGCTTCGCAAAAGACCTCCAGCAAACCTACTCTGCAATGCCTCATAGAGCATCATAAAACAGTAGAAGTGTGAGAAACATTATCATAACAAACAATGCATATATATATATATATATATATATATATATATATATATATATATATATATATATATATATATATATATATATATATATATATATATACACACCAACGTAGAATACACGTAACACATTTCTCACCGCAATGCATCAAAATTCAATCATATATACATCGCAACACATATATAATTCACCTAGCATATCCACCATGCAAACATTCACCACTAAGCATATACAATTATGTTTAGTTCAACACTCCACATAAACATACACAATTATGTTCATTACACCAATATATCACATGAAGATAATAATGCACTCATAGAGACCGACTCACGACTCTATGCAGATGCAAATGCGGTACCGACTCATTCAGCAGGTTCAATTGAAGAACAAAATGGAACCATCGCTCGTTACCGAAGTAACTCCCCGTCGGGCCTACGATGTTCACCCATAGCTCACACCCCACATGGGCACACGATGTTTCAGGATTGCTCACACCCCACATGGGCACACAATCTGATTGCTCACACCCCACAAGGGTACACAATCGTTCTGCAGATTCTCCACGGAATCAACTATAAACTATCGCTCACACCCCACAAGGGAACACGATCGTTTCTGCAGATCCTCCTAAGGATCAAAGATAAACCGTCGCTCACGCCCCACAAGTGCACACGAGGTTTCTGCAGATCCTACGCGGGATCAGACACACAAGAACGCAATCATGATGCTTCACAAATAAAACGACTTCATACACTCTTGAAATGCATATATATTCACAAATATACTCATGCATTCTTCACATCATACAAATACATACAATTATGTACATTCACATCAATCTCATCATGCATTTTCACTCAATTCAAACAAATGCACACAATTGCCAACGACCATATTTCACACTTCACGATTCATAATCTAGGATTCACGCCATACGGCTACCCACAGCATTTCATATCACACACACAACTATGCATAATAAGAAAGGATTAATCATACTTGAATCGAAGAATCCACATGGAAGTGAAAACATAAGAAAATAACATCCTGCTATGTAACACCCCAATCTAACCCGACGGATAATTAAGGAAAACAGAATCAGAATGCAACAAATTTTGTAAACATGACGGTCGTAAGGGGCTGTCACGACCATGACGGTCATGACGATCGTAAGGAAGTTGTGACGACCGTCACATCAGCAAATTATAGGTGTTACAATTTCAACTCATAGAAACATATATTTCACAACTCAATTAGACACCACGCATTTAGTAATGATACATAGCACAGAAGCTTGGATGAACATACAACAATAACTTGATTAACATTTTGGTTACAAGGCATCTTATTAATTTGCAGCGGAATATAAAACATTTCCAACATTTAGCATGATTAAAGCAAGACCATGAAACTTGCAACAAAACTTCATTAAAATTCAGCAAGTAATTATCTTGCATCAATTCGACATAAACAACGAGTTTCAACCATAAAAATCAGCACTACTAATTCATCGGTATAGTGCATCCAACCAACATTTGGCACTTAACAACAACCATCAATTTAATGAAAAATACTTGATAAAATTCAGCAATAAGGAAATTAAATAAAAGCAATAACATCAATCGTTCATCCCCCCAAGAGTGCTACGTATCAGAGCGACCAACAACTTTAAACGGAAAGCTACACTTATTCCGGATTACCTGCAATTTACCACCAACGGAGGTAACATGCAACGTAAAGGGTGAGATATCAACAAAATAACATAAGGCATGATAAAAGTCATGTCAAAATATTACCACAACATTATAATTCCAGCAGTTCGCATAAATATTAGTAATAATAAACTACAACCACTCTTTATTCATAACCACGACAATTATCATCATATCTCAGCAACTCATCAAAACAACTCAACAACGCAACTCAACAATGTGACTCAACAATGCAACTCAATTGTGCATATGCATGTGGTACCATTTGGGAGACAACACTCCACAACCATTCGGGAGACAACACTCCATAATAATTCGGGAGACAACTCTCCACAATAATTCGGGAGACAACACTCCACAATAATTTTATTTTGTCATTAAAGACACAACCGTCGTCAATCAAGGCCAAATGATATGCTATGAGATGCAACTATTATGGACTATATCCCAACAACAACAATTGTGCAACAACCGTGCAACAAGGCATCAAGCCTACAACCAATTATCCATAACAGAATATCGCATTTCGCATATATTATGGACTCACCACTTCAACCTGTTCATGTCAGAGAACAAGTAACAATATCGTTTCTATGAATAAGAATCCAACACATTTTCGCAGAAAACAATTAAAAATAACCTCGTCTCTACAATTGAGAACTCAACAACATTTTCATGTCAGAGAACAACTGACAACATCATTACTACAAATAAGAACTCAACACATTTTCATATACCTTCATACGGGTAATATAACTACAACTTATCCACGTAATCCAAGGAGAATATTATAATAACATTTTCTCAACAGTGACATAACAACTTTATATGCATCAAGTATTCATCATTTCAATATGTTCATGTAGGGGAACAATAACAACATACTTTCGACAATTAAGAATTCAGCACATTATCGTAAGAACAACATTACAACTTTTACTCACTAAATTAATTATAGTTCCTGAAAAGGTTTGTTAACTACGGGGCAACTAATCTTGCCTCATTAAAGGCAACCATACAGCATCGTACAACACTGACGATATAACACATTCATTCTTACACAAAAAAACCTCGTCCCTAACATTTATCAAGTAACGGGAACTATATCTATGATTCGATTCCCTACCTGAAGTCGATCAAGTAAGAGCCTAATAACAACCTTTTCTCAACACAGAGGAAATTAGCGCGTGTCGGCGCCGATTTTCAACATTACTACATAAACTAAGGACATAAACACTGATGCAGGCTTAGACAAACATTAACCCTTAATATTTCTCAACCTACAGGAACATTTACCCTTAATATTCTCTTAATATTTCTCAACCTACGGGAACATTTACCCTTAATATTCCCTTAATATTTCTCAACCTACGGGAACATTACTACGGGAACATTACCACGGGAATATCACTACGGGGACATTACTACGGGAACTTTTCCACGGGAATATTACTACGGGAACATTACTACGGTAACGTTACTACGGGAATCTT